TAATGTGTCGGTCTGAGACGGATAAGTGATGCTGCATGCAAGAGAGCATGGCCCCAAACAGTAGTGGGCAATTTTGTTTTCATAAGTAGTGGCCTTGTTATCAATTGCAGGTGTTTAATAAATTACTCTGCAAGGCAATTTTGAGTATGAACATAAGCTATAGAATGTTCAACATTTATTCCAACTGATAGACAATAATTATCAAAAGTTTGAGATGAGAATTCTCCAGCATTATCAAGGCGAATAGACTTTATAGGATAATCTGGGAATTGTGCCCTAAATCGAATTATTTGGGCTAATAGCTTTGCAAATATCAGGTTGCGAGATGATAGTAGGCACACATGAGGTCATCTTGAAGATGCATCTATTAGAACTATAAAATATCTAAACAACCCACTTGGTGGGTGAATAGGTCAACATATATCCCCATGTATACGTTCTAAAAAGGCAGGGGATTCAATGCCAACCTTCATTGATGATGGTCTAGTGATCATTTTGCCTTGATAACAAACATCACAAGATAATTCATTATTTGTAAGAATCTTTAGGTTATTTAATGGATGCCCACTCGAATTTTCAGTAATTCGTCTCATCATCATTGATTCAGGATGGCCCAAACGGCCATGCCAAAGCACAAAAATATTTAAATCAGTAAACTTCTGGTTTACGATATAGTGTGCTTCAACAGTACTAATCTTTGAATAGTATAAGCCAAAAGATAAAGTTGGTAACTTTTCTACAATGCACTTCTCGTCAGAAACATTCTTTGTAATACAAAGATAATCCATATTCATTTCATCTATCATCTCAACATGATACCCATTTCGGTGGATATCTATAAAACTCAACAAGTTTCTTCGGGACTTGGAGGAGAATAACGCATTGTCTATTATAAGTTTTGTTCCCTTAGACATAAATATAGTGGTTCTTCCTTCAATCAAACTTATATTATCAGAAATTGTTGAAATATTTGCTTTTTCCTTATGCAAATAAGAAAAGTATTTCTCATCTTTGAATATGGCATGAGTTATTCCACTATCAATCACACAAATATCTTCATGATTGGTCTTTGATCCAAACATAATTTGAGGATTATTCATATTTTTCAAAATTACATAAACACAATAAATATGATAGTAAACACCATTGTCAAAGCATAACTTTTATTTATGTACAACAATTATATAACCATATTATCTACTACAAACAACAATAATTAAAATATTTATATTTTTACAGATTTATCACCTATCACATGACTTGTTTCTCATTCCGGGAATGCAAAGTAATCAGCTACATCTAAATGCATGAAGTCTAAATTATCTTGAAATAAAATTTGCTTCAGCATTTTTCTCTGTCTTCTTCGGGGAGGCTTGATACAGCTCAACCAGGTGCTTTGGCGTATGACATGTACGCGACCAATGCCCTTTTTCTCCACATCTATAACATTCATTTTCTGCCTTTGCTGCTTGCACCGCTTCATGCTTTTGTTCCTTCCTTTTCCACTGCTGGTGGTAAGGAGGGTTCTTTGGTACATTATTATTACCATGATTAGTGTTTCGTCCCCAACCATGACCATGACCACGACTGGGACCACGTCCTCTTCCACGCTTAGCTTGGTGAAAGTTCGTCTCATTCACTTCAGGGAATGGACAAGAACCAGTAGGTCGGCTTTCATGATTTTTTATTAATAGCCCATTATGTTGCTCGGCTACAAGAAGATGTGAGATACGTTCAAAATACTTTTTGAATCCCATCTCTCGATATTGTTGTTGCATGAGCATATTCGATGCATGAAAAATGGTAAAAATTTTCTCCAACATATCATGATCAGTAATATTATAACCACATAATTTCAATTGGAAAATAATTCTAAACATAGCAGAATTATACTCACTGATAGATTTAAAATATTGTAGCCTTAGATTAGTCCAATCATAGCGTGCCTGTGGAAGAACGACCATCTTCAGGTGGTCATATCTATCTTTCAAATTATTTCATAGTATGAATGGATCTTTAATAGTGAGATATTTTATTTTCAAGCCTTCATCAAGGTGATGACGTAAAAATATCATTACTTTGGTACGGTCTTGGTTTGATGCTTGATTTTTGTCCTTGATGGTGTGTACCAGACCCATCACATCAAGATGAATTTCAGCGTCAAGCACCCAAGACATGTAGCTTTTGCCCCAATATATCCCGGGCTACAAATTTAAGTTTAGAAATATTTGACATTATTTAGAAAAAGAAAGTTCGTACCTCTGATACTTTCAAAGTATTTGCTCGAGATGGCAGTTTCATGTTGATAACGTGTTATAAAATAAAGACTGTAAAGTAAAGACAAGTATAGAGAGAAACTAATATATTATTCAAACTTCAAACTTATATACATAATGAACTGAAATCTCCTCTATTTATAGAAGAAAGCAAGTTGTTGTGTAAGCTACTTCTGTAAGCTGATGTGTAAGCTGCTAGTGTACCAGATATAAATAATCTTCCACCGGGGGTAATGTTTATCCATAACTGAGTGCTGAAAGGATAAGCTCATTGTACAAGATATAGATAATCTTCTATCGGGGGTAATGTTTATCCATAACGGGGTACCGAAAGGATAAGCTCATTGTACCAGATATATATAATCTTCTACCGGGTGTGATATTTATCCTTAACGGGGTACTGAAAGGATAAGTTCATTGTACCAGATATAGATAATATTCTATCAGGCGTGATGTTTATCCATAACGGGGTACTGAAAGGATAAGCCCATTGTACCAGATATAGATAATCTTCTACCAGGGGTAATGTTTATCCATAACGGGGTACTGAAAGGATAAGCCCATTGTACCAGATATAGATAATCTTCTACCAGGGGTAATGTTTATCCATAACGGGGTACTGAAAGGATAAGCTCATTTCACCAGATATAGATAATCTTCTACTAGGGGTGATGTTTATCCATAATGGGGTACCAAAAGGATAAGCTTCTTCAGGAGACTTATTTCCAATAGAGTACTAAATAGATAAACATATTTACGGTGAAGTCTCATATAGATAAGTTTCTTCAGGAAGCTTATTTACAACGGAGTACTAAATGAATATCCATAATATAATATATTTATAACACATATAAATTAGTCCAAGAGAGTACATTTTTGTTGGATTTTTTTTTTCTTTGATAAAGAAATATTTCGAAATAGATGAACATTCTTTTTTCCTCACAACAACAACCCAGTATAATCCCACTAGTGGGGTCTGGGGAGGGTAGTGTGTACGCAGACCTTACATCTACCCTAGGATAGAGAGGTTGTTTCCGATAGACCCTCGGCTCCCTCCCTCCAAGAACTTCCCACCTTGCTCTTGGGGTGACTCGAACTCACAACATCTTGATTGGAAGTGGAGGGTGCTTACCACTAGAGCAACTCATCTTTCCTCACAAAATTAATGGAAATATAAGAACCATTCAATTAAAAAAAAAAAAAAAAAAAAAGGGGGCAATTTCATTTTCTTGAAGTGGAACTTGTGATACTGTAATCTATAGTATCTTGACTTGATCTTGAAAAACATTATAGTTTCTTGATCTTTGAGCTGAGATGCTTTGCTGGATTTGTATAGTTGTATTGTGGATGTAAAGGGGCACTTTGTTTGACTTTTAGTAGAGTATCTTTATTATTCTCTGTAATATTAAATTCAAGATTTGCTTTTTCATTAATTTTAAATAAATAAAAGAAATTATAATAAATACCAAAAAGAAAATAATAGTTGGTGTTTCATTAAATCCTGCCGGCTTTTGTGGTGGTAGTTCATTTTCAACTTGCGTTTTCGTTTTGTTTATTCCTTTTCATCTTTCTATTATCTTCTTTAAAACTATATAGAAATAGCACAAGATTTTGGTAGATTACCCAGATTTGGAACCCCCTCCCCCCTCCCCCCAAAAAAGCAATCAATCTTAAAGTGTGATGAATGAAATTTACACTTTTGAGTACTTTAATTAATTCGGCCTTTAATTTGTTTAGTAAAAATTTAAGTAGAAGGAGAAAATCTTGAAAAACATGTTTTTAGGTATCAAGATTAGAGATAAAAGCATCTTCAATTTTCATAACAAGGTGATGTTAAGCGAAAATACCTAACGAATTGTCCGATGTGTAAGTTAATTAGAATATCATTAAAATCTAGTACATTTTCATGCATTTTCCTAGTCAATGGAGAAAAATACAACTGCCGAATAAACAAGAAAAAGTGGTCCATATATGGTGTGAAAGTAGGAATTAGACAACCTGGTCAACCATTGAGGTTGTTGATCTACGACAAATTCAAGAAAGGAGCAACTCTAATTTAGTAAAAATAAACCAAACTTGAAAATAAGATTCTTTTGCTTTTCATAAAATAAAACCAATAGAAGGGGAGAGACGGAGAGTTACTTGAAAACTAGTAACAGTACCTTGCCATTCTCATCTCACTTTTAAACGTGGACATTGTTTTCAAAAGAAGAAAAACACTTCCAATTTGTTCTATTTTTCTCTTACCAAAAGGCTTTTTGATCATGTTCTGTTGCTTACCAGTTGTTCCGTATAGCTTTAAGACCCCGACTAATTCAGATTTCGCAAAGGGAAAAGCGTTAGTAAAATTAAAAATATTTCCATTCATAGGACCCGAACCCAAAATATCTGGTTGTTGACTAGATGCTTTGTATGTCACTTGTAACTTGTAGGAATTTACCATGATCTGAAACTCTTTCTTGGAAATAATTGGATGGGGTTCTATGTATTTACCTTTTTCGTTATTAACGTCTTTCAATTCCCTAGTGGAGCTAAATTAACGTTCTACAACTTTGCCTCTTACGAAGTTATGAATTTTACTGCTTTCTTTAGTGTAAGAGTACCTTTTCCTTTTTTTCAGCAGGTTGTTACCAAAAGTTCACTCAACTATTGGCTCCGACCTTTCAAAACTCCGACCTTGTTTTTCCCTCTCAACATAACAATTAAAACCAGCAAAAACATTCATTTGAGACAAGCAAACAATAACACATTTTAGAAATATCAAGATTTTCAGGGCAATGAATACCAAATAGTCGCACATAGAAACTCCAAGAACAAAATTAGACATCTAATCAGATGTTCACTCCTTGGTATTTCTCAGGAAATGATAAACTTAACAATGTATGTCCAATTACTTAAAAAAGATTCAAGTCCTTGATCACTAAATGACCTTGATCAGATAGACGTAACGCCTCCAAAGCAAGCACCGACACAATACCTTGCTGCAAGAGTAAACAAAAATCACATCACCAACTTCACATAAGGTCAACAGGTAAGATAATAAGAAGGAAATTGTAAATGACACTCACAGAGCACAACATCAAGGTAACAACAAACCGATTCCACATAACCTGATGGAACAATAATAAGGGTATTTTGAACAGGCTAGAACATCTAATAATCATAGCATCATTATCCATCTTCTACCCGCGCTCAGATTAAATGCTACATGTGATACCAAGATGATGCCACAAAGCAAATCTAAGGTCATATCTACGACAAATTGCGTGGCTCTGTTAGAACACCCTTTCCCTTTCTCCGCTGCTCAAGCATAAGTTTGCAATTAGTTATCTGCTTAAAGCTTATGCACATATCTTCATTGAAATGTGTTCCTCAAAAGGATGGAAGTTGGAGCTAATTTCCGTTGGAGCTAAAGTCAATTAAAAAAGGGCAGCCCGGTGCACTAAGCTCTCGCTATGCGCGGGGTCCGGGGAAGGGCCGGACCACAAGGGTCTATTGTATGCAGCCTTAACCTGCAATTCTGCAAGAGACTGTATCCACGGCTCGAACCCCCGACTTCTTGGTCATATGGCAGCAACTTTACTAGTTGCACCAAGACTCTCCTTCAATAAAGACCCTATAATTAACCTGGAACAGGAGACATAACCATCATTTTACATGTTGTGGGCCTTAGTTTTTCATAACTTTTGCACGCAAATGGTAAACACAGGTTACAAATATTTCCTAAAGCAGGAAAAAAATACACCACAGAGAAGTGCTTCTTTGTGTGTTTTGATTAACATTGGAATGAAAGAACAGGACATTGATCCATAAGAACAAAAGAAGTATAAGAAGATCTCTGTTTCACGCACTTTTTGGGCGTAAGAAAAATACCAGCATGTATAGATGCTTGGCATCATGTGTTAACTGCAGTTGAGTGCCACACATACTTTGAGCAAATTGTTCAGGCCAGCTTGGCATGTTAATGCAATGTTGTCAAAAACAAAAAGCTCTAAAATGCGTTGCAGGTCTATTCGGGCTTTAAACGCAAAGCGCAGCTAAAGTGTGCCCTTTAGTAAAAAAGGCGCAATGAAGGAAAAAAAATAAAAATATATATGTAATTCTCTAAAATGAGTTGCAGGTCTATTCGGGCTTTCAACTAATGTGTGCCCTTTAGTAAAAAAAAGGTGCAACGAAGGAAAAAATAAAAATATATATGTAATTCGAGAAAATAATAACAAACTTATTCATAATGTTTTCCTTATCAACCAATACACTTATTTGCCGAGTATATTTGTTGTTTAGTGCCTCTTGATTCAAGATGGAACTCAAGGGGAATGTGGTGTATGCATTAGTGCCTTGCCTTACACGGAAGGCTGAGCTTTTCTGCGCTTGAGGGATTGAGCGTGCCTTAAATGAGCCTTTGACAACAAGGTGTTATGAATGATCTTTCATTTTATCAGGTAAAAGTATTCAATGTTATAATACTGCAATTGTCCGACGATCTTACGCTAACGCAAAACAAAAAAAATCAATTCTTACGAATTTTTAGACCAATTATAAAACCAAACAAAATGAATCTTTATTCATTAATCTATATCCTATAGCAGGGCAATTCAGAAAAATGCAGAAACAAGTAGCACACTAATAACTGCATACCATAGCATAATAAAAGATTTAAATAAAAAATAGAGTACCTTATATGTTGCTTGGGTACATGAAAACTCTAACCTTAGCTCCCTGCAACAGTTGAACAAAACAAATTTACAAAATTTTCCAAAAAAAAATTTAATTATAACACAATTAAATTAGCACTGAGGTCAAAATATACCATGGATTTAGGTGGCAGATTGGACTTGAATTTAGCTCTAACAACACCACTGTTACCATGTGGCCTACAAACTTTACCCCAAATACAACGATAATGTGAATTATTCTTCTTTGTTTTGGCCTTGTAAATATAAGCCATACGCTTTCCTAAATACCAATCAACTTCCTCCTTAGTGTTTACTCCCTCGATCTGAATCAATGACGTGCTTGGATACTGATTCGACTTCGACCTTAAAATCAAAAATTAAAAAAAAAAATTATTCGTGCCCAAAATTAATTACAAAAACATAAGTTAAAGGAAAAAGTGAGAAAAATTAAGTTTACCTTTTGTAACCAAGAACGGTTCCTCTAACATAGAGTCTGAATTGAAAAAAGAAGTAAAGAGAAAGTGAAAATGTGATTTTTACAGAGGATATTATGAAAAGGAGATGGAGATTGTAGCTGAAAATGAGACAATATATACCTTACACGCTCTCCTTGGCGTCCCTTCACCATTTTCGACTGGGGAGTTGCACAACAGACGAATATGCCGGCAAAAAATCTAAAGCTAAAACCCTAGAGTGCAGTAGAGGAGAGTTATTTATATTATTGGGCGGGGCTAGTAAATTAGTAAACACCGGATGGGCTTGAGGCCCAGTTATATAATTCTTTGGGCTCGACTATAATTTGGGCCGGATTGAGAAGAAAGAAGGTCAAAAAAATTGCAAAGAATAGACATCATAAGGGGCGGTCTTGAATTTTTGTCGGGTGGGTGCATAAACAGTCATTCTTAGGGACGAAATTTAAAGATTAGCTAGTACTTATTTTGTCCTAAAATTTTAAACTGAAAATCTTAACATCAGGACAAGTCAAGGCATTTTTGTCCCGAAAAATTAAACTGAAAAATTAAAATTCAGGACGCACTGATTAATTCCTAAATATCAGCTTTTTAGAGTGGCTAACTGGTGTCATTTCTACATATTTGTCCCCTGCTTGTTCAATGGACAAACTTTCAAGGTCAATAGTTAAAAGTTTCACCCGTGGGTAAAACAAATTTAAACTTGAAGGCTTGCCCATAGAGTATGCAGGATCAAAAGTTCAAGATTGTCCACTTCGTAAATCATTCTTGTAAATCGCCTAAGGAAGGTCAGGTCCGTTATAAGTAGTACAAATGGTGTGAGATGGCCAGTTTTAGAGTTACTTTTCAATATTTAGCCACTATTTAATGTAATTGAAAAAAAGTCACTTTTTAATGCAAAATTAAAATTTGAACAAAACTACCTCTAATTAAAATACAAAAAAGTCGAGCATAGTGTGTTGGAGCCAAAGCTTTTACAAGTAAAACTCCAGTATACTATATTGGAGTTCAAAAATTCTCATCCAACATAGTGTGACAAATGTTCGAACTTTTATACGTGAAACTCTATTATAGTGAATTGGAATTCAAAATCTCCCCTTGATATTAAACTTCAATATAGTTTGATGAGTTTCAAACATTTACATGTAAAACTCCAGCACATTTAAAACTCACTACATGTGAAACTCCAGTTAAATCTTGGAGTATTATTACTTTTAGCTCGTGCCAGAAACTATTTATATCTGGTAGCC